TCCCAATGCTCATGGGTGAGTCCGGAAGAACTAGGTGCTCATAAAACCTGAGACGGGGTGGAGTCTGAGCCCCAGTGTCCCTTCTCTGTGCCCTCACACCTGTGCACTGCTGCGGGTCAGCACTGTGTTGGCTGGTCAGCTGCTGAGCAGTCTGGATCTCTAGCTCTGTTTTGAGAGAATTTTTTGTATTTTATTATTTTTTTTCATTGTTAGTAAGATGTTTTAATGGAAAAACAAATGATCGATAATTTATACATAGCATTTCCCCCCAGAAAGTCTAGAGCAAGGAATCACTTCACATTTTCATGCTATTTCAGCATGGCAGACTGGAAACAGGACTATCAAGAAACAACTGAACTTTCGTTCACACACAGTCGACTTCCACTCATGGCAGAATTCAAGGCTTCTCAGATGTCAGTACAAAGGCAAAGGCGGTGGATAACACTTTGCAGACTGCTTGTGCTTGCTTCAGGATGTTGCACTGATAAACCCACAGGCTGTATTCTTTGTTGCTCACATTAGTGGTCTTCAGAGCCAGCAGGCTCCGGCCCACCCCCAAACCATCTTCATAGCACACCATCCGGATGATTAAGTACAGGGCACGCCTGTGCAGAATGTCATACTGATCTGATGTCGATACTTTTATACCATACTTGGAAACTCCCATAATAAATTCTTCCTCTATAGGAACAAAGGGCAACTTTCCATCTTGCTGGGCAACATCTCTGTAATTGATCAGGTCTAGTGGCCCTTCGAGGCTTTTGCCCTCAGAGGCTATCAGCTTCTCGATGACACCGACATATTTTATTCAAAATTCTGCACAGGTGTCTGAGGCACTCTGTCCTGAGCTTTTGGTGGAATCTGTATTGAGGCTGGCAACAGTGCTGGATTGAGAAAGGCCCCAGAGGCTAGAGTCTACAGACTTGCTTTTAGTACTGATTTCACTACTTTGGGAACTGCTACTACTGTGGTGTTTTTTGCCTTTCTGAAACATTTTTCACTGTGGCTTGATCCAGAGGAGCTCTCCTCACAGCCACCAGCCCATGCCTGGGGTCGTCTGCAGGTCACACACCTATCTCCAGTGGCCCACGCCAGGGCAGCCACTCCCGTTCTAATTCTGTATTTTATTATTTTGACTGGGTAGTACCTTTGCATCTACAAAATCCAGAGGGTGCAAAGGGGTGTACTGTGTAAAGTCCTTTGGGCCCGCAGAGGAGCTCCTGTCCTGTTTAATAATAAACTTGTGAAGGTTTTCAGACAGTTCTCTTATTCCTTCACAATTCAGAGCTACAAGATCTAAATGGGAGGCTGAAAGGCCTGCCTTAGATTTCAGGGGCTATAAGTTGACTTCATTGAACTTCTAGGACCCCAGACCTTACTCTCCTCTGCTGGGAACTGCAAACCCATGGGTCTCATGGCCCCTTCCTTAGCCTCTCATAACCCACCTGGCCCAACAGTGAAGTTGCAGGGGCTGAGATCTCAATGCCACATATGTGTCTGTAGCTTAATTTGTGCAGTGTGTATTTCTCCTGGAACTGGCTTTTAGACATGTGATTTTTTTAAAATACTGCATTTATGAAGTTTTTATTGCACCTTAAGACAATAGAGGTTTGCTTTTTTGTTTTTTAAGATTTTATTTATTTTTAGAGGGGAGGAGGGAGGGAGAAAGAGGAAGAGAAACATCGATCAGTTGCCTCTTGTACGCACCCCAACTAGGGACCGGATCCACAACCCAGGCAACCTTTCCTGAACCAGGAATCAAACTGGCAGCCTTCCACTTTGTGGGACAACGCCTAACCGACTGAGCTTTTGGTTTTATATTGGGAGGCAGGCGGTGGGGGTACCGGGGTTTGAATTCTGGAAATCTTTACAAGCCATTTTTCAGAAACCTCTCTCCTTCATACTTACGGGGCCCACCCCTAATCTCTGCTCCAGTTCAGGAAGGTAGCTAGGGAGGAGTATGGATGTGGAGGGGAAGGGACGGGAGAAGAGAGAGGAGCAGCAGGGTCCTGCTCCCCAAGGGAAGGGGCAGGAGAAAGTGTTCTCATGCATGTGGTCAGTGCCTGGAGTGGAAGCGTCTCTGTGTGTGTGCTGAGCATCACTGCGGCCTGTAGCAGTGCCTGCTGTATGTGCAGAGGACGGCTCAGGGTTGAATTTGCCCTGTATGTACCATCATTATGATGGAATTCCAGAAGCAGAATTCTTGTGCTCTGAAAGATAATAATTAGACCTAATGATTTTGATGAAAAGGAAGACCATTCCTGCATTCTCAGAGGTGATGCCTGGTGTGTGTGTATATGTGTGTGTTCATGCATGTACTCCCTGGATGTAGAGGGGATTGGAGGATCCAGGCTACTTCCTCCATCCTATAATCTACAGGGGTGCCAGGCGCTCACTTGGTGCAGTACAGCTCTTCTTCCTAGCCTGCTCAGAGCATCCCAGTGAGCAGGGGCTGCATGGTGGACAGTGGTAGCACTCTAGAGGAATCCCAGATGGACATAGGGATGGGGAGTTAGTGGTGGGTGTTGGCTCTTGTTCCAACAGACTCAGTGTATCAACAGACTCAGTGTATTACAGTTTTCTGCAAACATGAGTCAAGCCTCTTAGAGACTCCTTTTTCTCCCATTAGAATTCCTGAGTGGCTCTCCACCTGGAAGGGGGCACCTTTAGTGATGTTCTCTAGAGGCTCTGCTACTCCCTGTTCTTGATCCTGTGCTGTTGGAATTCACTTGCCACTGGGTGTGGGGGGTGGGAGGGTCACTCAAGGTTCTAAACTTGCTCTGTCTCTAATATGAGGTCCTGTCCTTTCTTGGCCTCCATGTCCTCAAAGGATAATTACAACCAGCAACTCACAAGATCAGGCATATACTTTATAAACACCTGGGAAGATGTTCTGCTTCATGGTGGTCAAAGAAATAAAAGTAACCGAATGTCATCTTAACATTAGAGATCATGATAGCAATATCCAAAGTTTGTAATGTAAATTGGCGTCATCCTTCATAAAAATCATAAAATGTTGATACTCTTTGACCTGATAATCTCACTTCTGTGAAGTTTAGCCCAAGGAAATAATCCAAGAAATGGAAAGAGCATTGGCCAAAGGTGTTCCCTGTCCTTTTTTTTTTTTTTTAATGAAAATAACAAGTAGTATTATAAATGCCTTGGGGGTCAGTCAAGTAAACAGTGATGGGCCCATGTTAGGGAATATTAAAATTGATAGTCATTGGGGTCTTGCAAGATGGAGGACATATGACATTAAAAGGGTTTAAACTTGTCATGACAGTCACTATATAAAAATATATAAAATGCCTGTGCATTTGATCAGCAGGGACATGCAGAGATTGCCTACATTAGGATGATAAAATTGGGCAATTTTGTTTTCCTTCAGTTTTTAAATGTTTTATTGACATAAAGTCACGTACTACAGTCTCCCCATTTAAAGTGTGTAATTCAGTGGTTTTTAGTATATTCACAGAATTGTGCAACTATTGTAGTAAGTTTTAGAACATTTTCATCACCTCAGAAGGAAACTCTACACTCACCATTCTCTGCCCATCCCCCCCCCCCCCTGGCAATCATTAATATGCTGTCTGTATGGATTTGCCTGTTCTGTATGTTTCACACAAAGAATCAAAATGTATGGTCCTTTGTGTCTGTCTGCTTTCAATGAGCATGATTTCAAGGTTCATCCGTGTTGTAATATGGGTGTCAATACTTCATTCCTTCTCATGGCTGAATAATACTCCACTGTATGGATATACCCAGTTTGTTTATCCATTTATCAGTTGATGGACATGATATTTTACATTTTTCAGCTATTATAAATAATGCTGCTATGAACATTCATAGACATGTTTTTGTGTGGATATGCCTAGGAGTGGGATTACTGGATAACATGGTAACTCTTAATGAAATGCCATTCTCTATAGCAAATGCACCATTTTCACAGCCATTCCCCTGCCCCCATCAATGTGTGAGGGTTCCTTTCTCCACATAATACTTGTTACTGTCTTTTTCATTTTAGCTATCCTAGTAGGTATGAAATGAAGTGGTGCCTCATTGTGGTTTTGATTTGCATTTCCCTTTTGGCCAACAATGTTCAGCCTCTTTACATGTGCTTATTGGGCATTTGTTTATCTTTAGAGAAATGCCTACTCAGATCCTTTGCCCATTTTTTAATTGGGCTGTCTTTTTGTTACTAAGAGTTCTTTAAATATTCTAAATACAAGTCCCTTAGCGAATACATGATTTGTAAAAATTTCCCTCCATTCTGTGGATTATCTTTCCACTTTTTTTTATGGTGTTCTTTGAAGCAGTTTTTTTTAATTTTAATGAAATTGAATTTTTGTTGCTTGGACTTGGTCCCTTCTGGCCCTGACACTGATTCATTAAATTTAATACTTAAACTTATTGACGTCAGGCTCCCTCTTCCCTGTCAGGATTATTTGGGGCCCCCCAGCACTGTATGGTTCTGAACTGAACACTGGTGGGCTCCAGGAGGGAGCTATATACACTAGGGGAGTTGCTTTCACTGGATCTTCTGTACTGTTTAGAATCTAAACAGGTGCTCAGTGAACAAACATTGTGACGGAAATGAGGAAAAGTGTTTCACTTAACTGACACCATCTTCCTTCCCACCCTACTCACCTAACAAAACAAAGAAGGGCAGAGTAGCTGTGTACAGCTGGCTCTGAGAGCTGCTGCCGGGGGCGCTGGTCCGGGCCTGATGGGGAGAGAATGCAGACTCAGTGCTCCTGAGTCTTTCCGACCAGCAATGGCCCAGGAGAGGGCAGCTGTGAGAAGGGGAAGGGGGACCTGAGGAGCGGGTACACAAGGAACAAGGCGATGAGAGGATGAGGGGATGAGGGACGGTGCGATGCTGAGCAGGAAGGGGAGAACAGACCAATGAGGGAAGGAACCTGGCTTTGTGGAAGCCAGGTGTCCAGGTCCAGTTCAGCCCTGTTGCTGAGGAAGTTGTCCTCTGTTCTCTCCACAAACAGCTCCCCAGAGCCTCAGTCCACCCAGGCCAGCACTGGAAGGAACCTCATCTGTCTACCAATTCTTGAGTACCTGGGATTTGAGGTAAAAAGTCTCCCAGATCCCCTCCCACAAGGAGGCTGGCACAGCACTGAGTGTTAGGGGAGGGGAGGACCAGTTGCCTCAACTTCACTGGGGAGCCCTAAATTAGGTTCCTGATGGGGGCAGGGCTCACCTCCCTAGCTCTGTCCTTGACAGTTCTGTCCTCCTTGCCTGGCTGCCCTCACTCACCCTCTGGCTTTCACACGGGAAGTGCAGGTGACCACTGAGGTTAGTAGCTTCTTGAGAGATGTGGAGGACGGTGGCTCTTGGCTGGTCACCCTGGTGACATGGGCCATCTCCAGGATTAGAGGTAGCCTGGTGACAGCTGTCCTGAGGGAAATTGGTCCCAGCCTATCAGCCCTGCTTTGCCCTGCTTTGCCCTGCTGTGAAGATTTATATGGAAGGGAGACACAGGGGACACCTGCAGTAGCCACAGGAGGTCTTGTGCGCTTAGGCTTAGTGAGCATGGCTCTCTGAGGAGTGCCACACCTTGTGCAGCAGCCCCTTGTCACCTATCAGTGCGTGACACCTGGCAGTAGGGAGCTGGGAGCATAGTTCATTTCCGGGTTTTTCCTCCAGGTTCAGAAGCCTGGAAGATGTCGAATGACCCACCTCCTCCTTATCCTGGAGGCCCCACAGCACCCCTTCTGGAGGAGAAAAGCGGAGCCCCGCAAACCCCAGGTAGGGTTCAGTGCTCCTATCTGATCCTGGCCCTGTCCCTTGCATGTGCCCGCTGGTGAAGTTGTTCCTAGAGCAGCCCCTTCTACTGACAGCGTGGCTGGCACCTTCTGAGTTTCCTCTTTGCTTCTCTCTGTCCAGGCCGAACCCCCCCGGCTGTGATGCAGCCCCCACCAAGCATGTCACTGCCCCCTGCAGACATTGGACCCCCACCCTATGAGCCACCGGGTCACCCAGGGCCGCAATCTGGCTTTATCCCCCCGCATGTGAATGCAGATGGCGCCTACATGCCTCCAGGTAAGTTGGGAAGGGATTCATAGTGGGGGAGTGCAGGGGTCTGCCCAGCCCAGCAGGGCTGCTGTCCAGCCTTGCTGCAGGCAGGCTGGTGTTCTGTGACGTGGTTTACTGTTGGGCAGGGGGACTGATTTTGAGCATGTAAGGGGCACATGGGAAGGTATCACAGAGCCAGGTGCTACTGTGAAAGCACTGTGGACAAGTCAAAGGAGCCCAGGAACCTGTCAAGAGTAGGGTTGACTCATGGGAGACTCCTTGGGGAACCATGGCCGGTGCTATGGACTCATTGGTGCTACAGAGGCCACTCCCTGCTAGAGACCTCAGTCCATGGTGAAGGCCTGCTTTCCTGCTCACCCAGAAACTCCTCAGAGGGACTGCTTAGGCCAGTGAATGTCCCAGAGCTCCTGCACAGGTGCCCCCAAGCCAGAAGGGCCAGGAGGCACAGCAGTGCAGGACCTGACACTGGTGGGAAGGAAACCCCGTGTGCATGAAGGGCTGGTGAGCAGTGAGGCTCTCCTTGCTGTGGTTGAGGTCCTTGAGCATAGTGCCTGGTCCTCAGAGGCAAGGGAGTAAATGTATGAAGCTGTGACAGAGGGGAAGTGGGGACCTTGTTCTCAGCTCTCTGCCATGTCTGGCTGGGTGCAGTTATCTTCTCTGTTTTGGTCCCCATGGGGCAGGGGCCAAGAAGGGCTAAGGGAATGTAGATGGCCACCATGGCTCAGGGCCTGGTCCCCAAGGCCTCAACTATGTCCTGGATGCTGGGAGCGTTGGGGCTTTGTGCTCACCTCTCACATGGAGCAGGTGACAAGCCAGTGACCTGTCTACTCTGTCTTCTGTGCCGTTCCAGGTTTCTACCCTCCTCCAGGCCCCCATCCACCCATGGGCTACTACCAGCCGGGGCCCTACCCACCAGGGCCCTACCCTGGCCCAGGGGGTCACACAGCCACAGTCCTGGTCCCTTCAGGGGCTGCCACCACGGTGACAGTGCTGCAGGGAGAGATCTTTGAGGGTGCACCTGTGCAGACAGTGTGTCCCCACTGCCAGCAGGCCATCACCACCAAGATCTCATATGAGATTGGCCTGATGAACTTCGTGCTGGGCTTCTTTTGCTGCTTCATGGGGTAGGTGGTGTGGGTGCTTATAGCAGGGCGGGCGGTGGGGGAGCCACACCTGCCCAACACCCAGCTGGAGTAGGCCCGGTGCCCTTGGTGCCTTCTCTTCAGGCCTCCCAATCTCTGATTCAGGTGTGACCTGGGCTGCTGCTTGATCCCGTGCCTCATCAACGACTTCAAGGATGTGACACACACATGCCCCAGTTGCAAAGCCTACATCTACACGTACAAGCGCCTGTGCTAACGGAACTGGACTCCTCACTGTCAGTTTGGCCCCCTGTGCTTTGCTCCCTATGCTCAGTGGCTCATGTCCCCAGTCCCACTTAGGGGTGGAAGCTGTTCCACCACTCCTCTTGAAATCTTGTCCTCTTTGCCTTGCCCTTCCCTGAGCATCTGACTCTTACAGCAACAGCTGGCTGGACTGAAGGCCAAGGGTCAGCGAGTGGCAGGGAGTTGGCACTGAGCATCTGTACTGCTGGTTTGCTTGGTGTTTGTGATTAGGGGGATAAACTGGGAAGGGTCTCCCTGCTGGGTCTCACTCCTCCATTTTTGTATGAGGTATAGGTTTGGTCCTGATTATCCCTGGGACCAGAAGCAGCCAGAGCAGTGGCTGATTTTCCAGACCTGGGCCTACAGTAGGACTGTGCCTATAGCTAGTTTCTGACCTACTAGGCTGAGAGTGGGGATGTGAGCCCAAATAGGCAGGGTCATAAGGCCAGGGTTTGTTTCTGGGTTGCTAGAGGTAGGCATGATGGTCAGAAGGAATGACTTGGGCCCTCAGAATTCTCAGGAACTCAAAACCTTGTCTGAGTGCCCGGCAGCCACCTGGAATAAGAGAGGCCGGCACAACTGAAAGTTCATGGGATAAGTCACCAACGGACTTGCCTCTGGCCCCTGCCTAGCTCCCTTTCCAGCCATGCCTCTGTGATTGTGTCTTTACGGGAGCCAGAAGGAATGCCCAACTGGGACCAGAGATGGCAGATAGGGCCCCTCCCTGTGGGCACGCTGAAGATTTACAATGCTCTCTGTGGATCCTCTTTCTAGTGAACACTGGGCCCTTCACCCTGGCTGATTCAGTTGCTGTTCTTGCTCCAGGAACTACAGCAGGAACAACCGTAGCGCTGGATGGGGGACCAGGAAGGAGCAGCAACCACAAGTGGCGGAAGTACCCTGGTGGATGCTAGTCCTGCCCTGGGCCTGAGGCCATGCTCTTTATTTTCTGAATGGTTTGTCTATGAACTTGCTCCTGTGGACCGCTGTACCCTGTTGCCACCCCTCTCTCCTGGTCTCACACTGCCACTGCATGGCCTTCTGTCACTGTGAATTGTGGCCAGCCTGTTTGTAGATTCTCATTAAATCAGTCCTTTCACTCCCCTTCCCTGGCCTCTGCTTTCTTGCCTGGCTTCCTTTTGCAACGGAAAGAGGATGGGGTCACAGGTAGTCTTAACAGCAGGGGGGTCAGGGGTTGAGTCTTCAGGGTCTCAGTGCTTATGCTGTACCGACTGCCTGTGGATAATACTGGCATTTAAGTACCTTATTAAACCAAGACAGAGTAAGTGTGGACAAAGCCTGGCATTCCAGCTATGACTGGGCCAGGGCATGTGTGGCTACCTTACTATCTCTGATAGTGGTTTTACCCATTTCCACACCACAACATCCACCCATGAGATCTGGAGGCCGGAGCACCCCAGCCCGAGCTCAGGGTCATCCTGCCTAGGAAGCAGTTCCCTTAGGTAAGACAGAGGCACTAGGGCTAAGGCTTCTGAGGGGTCAGGATGTGAAAAACCTGGGCCCCAGGTTCTACACCAGCTCTGCCCCTACCCTTAACTGTGGAGGTACGTAGACTTGGTCAGAAGTTTAAAAAGAAAGTTTCCCCACCATTTAACCCTTTTGTGAATAAAACGTTTGCAAATCCTCAATATATAAAACAAGTAATAGATTCCTATTAATAAAAATATTTAAGCTTGTATTTCTATTTAAGACAATCAACTGTTATATAATGCAAGTACATGGTTTTTAATGATATAAGGTAACCAACCAGCAGTCTTGGGAGGACTGTAGGAGGGGGCGGTCAGGTACCCGCGAGGACAATATCCATGCCAGCAAGGAGGAAGCAGCTGTCAAGAGTCCACTTTTTATTAAGTGCTGTAGCATGACACAAGTCAGAAGAGGAGCAAGGCCATGGCTGGACACATCCTTGTTGGGGGTTTCTGCTGAAGAGGGATGAGGACTGCCTTCCAGGACAGAGCTCCCAGGGCCTTGGCGGAGCTGCATGGTGGAATGCCAGCCCTGGCACTCCACTTCTGCCCCCCACTTCATCCCCAGGGGAGTCCTGCAGTAGAGCAGGAGCATCTGGGGGCCTCTCTCCCTCCCAAAGAGCTATAGCAGACTGGCCTGGGCCCGGCTGGCTTTTATGCTCCCAGCGAGGGAAAGATACCCACCTAAATGCTGACACAACAGAAAAAACAAAAGGAACAAACCTCAGGTGAGAGGTGTGGGCGCCCAGAAGCAAAGCTGGTTCCATAGGTCCAGGCCAGTCCACTGATCTGCACTAACTGTTCCCAGTGCCTAGGGGCTACAAGGAGGGTGGGCCTACACCCAGCTCAGCATCTGGCCCGTAGAGGACACTAACAGGCAGAAGCTTTAGTGTCTGGCCTTTATTGGACGCTTTTCTCAAACCCAGCATTTTTTTTTTTTTAATCACCTGAGATGGTAGTTTTGTCATACGTGGAGGTGGGAAGAGGCCAGCAGTCTGTCAGGAGGAGGGCGCCAACATGAAGTGATGGGTCTTTCACATGTAGTACCAGGCCAAGAGGCCAGCAGCCAGAGCCACACTAGTGGCCAGAATGAGCTGGAGGCTGGGCTTGCTCAGCACAGCCAGGGCTGTTCGGAAGGGACAGCTGCTACCCTCCAGGGCACCTGCGTGGCAGCACCAACAGGGAACATGGCATCAGTAGGAACTCTGACATACCCATGCTGAGAGGGGAGCTTGTGGCAAATAAGACCTACCTCTGTCTTGGTTAGCAGCATAATAGGGGCATTTACGCACATCTCCTTTCCCATTGTGCACGGGGAGCCCATCCTCCAAGGTCTCTTTGGCGAGCAAGGAGCCAGCCTGGTCCAGTTCATTGAATATCTGCAGGAGCAGAGAATCAACACCATTACTGGACTGCATACACTGCTTTCAGAAAAAAAAAACAAAAACCTCTTCTTCTGCTCAGAGGGAGCTACAGCAGGTAAGGCTTGCTCAGGAGTGTAAACCAGCAAAGCAGCAGCTCCACTCAGGGACAGCCACACTGACCTGGCACCTCTCCCTAGCACAAACTCTGGGAATTATGTCCATATCTGTGCTGTCCAGCATCCCTTGGCTGCTGACCATGGTGGATCATCCCCGGGCACTGACCACACACAGCTCATGAGTGAAACTATCAGGATATAGACATAAGAGCAAAAGTCCTGCCCCAAAATACTCTGTGAGCACTGGTACTTCCCCACTTCCAGCCACTGGGTATTTCTTAGCAAGAAACAATAGAAAAAGGAATGTGAAAGAATGAGGCCCCAGCAGCACTGATCCATCCTGAGTGGATCCTGGAGACCCGCTGATGTCAGATTAAGAGGCCTGGTGGCCCTCTGGTCAGGCTGGCAATTTACTCCCCTACCCCTGCTGCAGGGCCACTTTTCTGGTGTTGAGGGCTGGCCTGGGTTCTGGGGGGAAAATCAGCCTTCCTAACCTTGGGACCATCTAAAGGGTACTTGTAAACAAATTTGTGCTCCTCACTCTCCTTCGTTTTCTCCCTGAACATACCAAGCAAGATTTTTCATAGCAACCCATGCTAAAATAAAAGAACTCAATTCCTCAAAACCAGAATCCTGCAGTACGAGGGAAGGAGACAACTCCATTCTCTCCAAACCCACTTCATGGTAAGGCCTCAATCTTCCCAAAATACTATCAAATAAGGCGGAGCCATCACTGGGCTCATGCCCTCTGCAGCCTATTTGCTCCTTCGACTTTCTCTCAAGCCAGCTGCAGCACATCTGTCCTAATGCACAAATGTGTGTTGGGCAGCTCTGATCGGCTCACACTGGGGCCCCTTCCCACCCGGCCCCCAGCAGTACCTGCATGTTGTACTCGAAGGCCTTGTTGGCCTCCTCCACAATCTTCTCTTTGGTTTTCAGGTTCAGGTCCAGAGCATTCATCCTGGCCCTATATAACTGCTTGAACTGCTGCGCATTGTCCACATTCTCAAACAGGTAGAACTGGGTTCCCTCCCCTGTGCTGGGGAGCTTCAGGGCCCGCTGGGCCACCTTCTTGAGCACCTGGCCCCCTGAGAGGTCCCCCATGTAGCGGGTATAGGCATGGGCCACCAGCAGCTCTGGCTCATTCTGCCCCACATAGTGGATCCGCTCCACATATTTTTGGGTGGCCTCAGAGCACTGCACCTGCTCCTGCCAGTCCTCACCAAAGAAATACTTCATGTCCTTGGTCAGTGCCTCCTTCCGGTGCAGCTCCATGGGGAAGTACAAGGGGGCAAAGGCTGGATGGTCCTTGTTGCGGTCCATTTCCTCCTCAAGGGCTGAGTATGTGAAGTAAAGTGCAGTAGTGGCCAGCTATTGAGGGTGATGGGGACAAACCGTGGAAAGGGCTGTGGGTCTTGGCTTGTATGTAGCTCCTGAGCCTACCACCCACTGCATCTGAGCAGCTAGAGACATAGGCTTGAGCAGCAACCCCCCTTCTAATCCCCAAAGGCCCATTTTTATACAGTGAATTATTTTGCACACCCAGGAAACTCATGTTTCTAAAAGGAATGACACGGTCAATTCTTTGGAACATGGATACTTTTGCTTTCCTTACATCACTATGTTACCCACTTAAGCCACGAAAACTACAGCCTGGCATCAGAAGAGTGGAGTGTAAGGAAGGCCTCACTTTCTCCTTGGAGCAACTCCAGGAGGACCTTTCTTGTGGTACTAAGGCCCCCGAACCTGATCTCATCCATGACTGAGGCACAAACCTTAAACAGCTCTTTCTTGATGTTGCCTTTCAAGAAGTCCTTGACAAACTGGGTATTTTCTGCCCGGTCATGTGCTTCCTTAGTCCCTTCCTTCAGGAGCTCAGAGAGGTCAGCCATCCTGTAGAGAAGTGATTTTTCAAACTTTCATCTTGTGGCACACACACTACTAATTACCATATTTTGCTCTGTATAATGTGCACCCATGTTTTTGTATGCATTACACATGGGATTATTATGGCAATATAACCATGGTATATAATCATTATACCCATGTATAATGTGATCCTTATTTTCCCCTCAAAAATTTAGACAAAACAGTGTACATTATATATGGCAAAATACGGTACTAAAATTCTGCACACCAAAAATAGACATTTTTTTGCTGATCTAACAAAAGACGGGTATAATTTTGATTTACAAAAAATGACCGTAGTAATAATTACCTACATTCTTTGCTCCAAAGTGACTTTTTTTTTTTAACACCCGAGGATATGTTTACTGATTTGAGAGAGACAGACAGACATTGATGTAAGAGAAACACCAATCAGTTGCCTCCTGTACACACCCCAACTGGGGATCGAATCCACAACCTAGGTATGTGCCCTGACCAGGGACCAAACCTACAACCTTTTACAGGACAGTGCTCCAACCAAGCCACTTAGGGCGCTGTAAAGTGACTTTAAAAATAATAATAATAATAATAAGATGCCTGTATTTGTATATAAGGATTCCTGGTAACAAGAATTAATCAGTCAGATGCAGTCTTATTATATAACATGACCAATAAAATGCAACTCAGTTATATGACCTATATATATTTATGGTTCAAGACACAGCACTCACATGAGATAGCTATTATTGTGTTGACCGTTGTCATTTTTTTGTTTGACAACCTAAGGAAAAAGAGGTCAGTGCCCCTGATTAATCAGGTATTACATGTTTTAAAAATTCTGTGGCATAGCAGTTGAAAATCGCTGCTATAGAAAGACCAGGTACATGTGTGCATGTACATGTGCATCGTATGTGTGTGTAAACCAGTTCTTCCCAGCGCCAGAGTGCTTGCTTGCTAACCTGGTAGGCAGGGGCTGCTAAGAAACTCAACTCCAGCATAGATGCAGGGTTTTGGTAGGAAGCACAGGGCAGACAGATATGTCTGCTTCCATGAGCTTGGGTGAAATGTGGGATGATGGTAGCCTCCTTCTCAATGGTGTCCCTGCCTCTCTGAACCACCCAAATGAACAATGCTTTGTTTCTGTGGCCACCTGAAAGAAAGAAATATACCTCTTATCCAAGCAAGCATTTGCTGACTTCAGGGAATAGCCAGCCTATGGGAACGTGTCTCCCAGAATGCACGCCATTGTGAAGGACTAACTGTGGATCTCCTGGCACAGCTTCACTGCCTTCCTTTCACCTTGGACCCACAGCTACTTCAGGACTATGTGTGGCTGGGTCCAGGTGTTGGATGAGAATGAGATAAATGCTGGGAAGGATGGAGCCAGGCAGGACTTACATGTGTGCTGCTAAACAAAATTACACAGAATGGAGTTATGCTGACAGATGCCAGTACCAGACAAGGCAGAGAATACATGACCCTAAAGATGGTGGCACTGGGCAGGAGCTTATTTATACATATAATCCATCTACTAGAGTGAGAAAAACTTGGTCTTTCATGACCTGGCCTTTGCTGGCTTCTTTAGGAGATTGGCTCATGCTGACAGTTAATATTAGCAATTATTTCAAGATATAAAAAGATCTTTAACAATGACAGGGTTGTAACAAGAAGATAAGAATAATGAAGAAGCCCTGGCCGGTGTGGCTTGGTTGGTTAGAGGGTTGTCCTGTAACTGAAGGGTTGAGGGTTTGACTCCCAATCCCTGGTCCAGGTCCAGGCACATACAGGAGGGGACCAACTGATGGTCCTCTCTTGCATTAATGTTCCCCTCTCTCTCTCTCTCGAAGCAATGAAAAAATGTCCTCGGGTGAGGACTAAAAAAAAAGAATGATGAATAACAGTCCTCAGTAACTTGAGGCTTAGAGGAACTGGCCCTACCCAATTTATAAAAAAACTACAAAACACTTGCAGTTGTTCCCACGTTCTAAGGGTCTGGAAGACCCTGGAAAAGATGCCAGCTTTGCTCCTAATTAACTATTTCTCTTTCTCACCCCAGATGGCAAAACACTTAGGATTTTCAAAGAAAAAAAGAACCAGGAACACCATCAGATTCTGTTACTCAGCACCCCTAGCAGTGCCTGCCCTGTCTCCCTGGGACACAGGGGCTAGGGAGAGTGCTGAACAGCCCAGGGTTCTGTCTACTCCTGCAGCCAGGCATTTCAGGGGACACAGTAGCATGGCACCTACCATACCCCAGTGCCTCCAGCACACACAGCCAAGTACACTGGGCATGGAAGGCCCTGGCTCAACACAGCCAGTCCGCATCACTTACCTGGCATGGTTCTCTCTTTCTGGGGCCCCAGGGCTCTCTTTCTCTGACTCCTCTACTCCCTCTGAGGTCTCCAGTTCCACTGACATTGTTGCCAAATGTGGTTCTTGCTGCCCTTACTCCTCTGGCCCTGTAGAGACAAAAGGAGTAGATGATGTGACACCTACAGCACTCACTGCCCCCAAGTACCTGCTGGCTCTGCCCTCAGGGCCATGTAAGCAAGGAGTCACCAACATGCCCTAGGAGTGTTTTCTTTCTAAATAAAGCTCTACTGTTGCTGGAACTGTACCTAAATATTATCTAAATATGGACAGAATTTGATTATGGATGGTGATGAGGTAATAGCACTGTATCAATGTTGTACTTGCTGTTTTTTTGTTTTGTACTTTGATTATGTAGGGGAAATGTCCTTGTTTTTTTGTTTGCTTGTTTGTTTTTTTATTGATTCTAGAGAGGGGAAGGGAGGGAGAAAGAGAGGGAGAGAAACATCAAAGTGAGAAACATTGATACGCTGCCTTTTGTATGTGCCCCAACCAGAGACCAAACCCCCAACCCAGGCATGTGCCCTCACAGGGACTCAAACCAGCAACCTTTCTGTTTCCAGGACAATGCCCAACTGAGCCACACCAACCATGGTGAGAATGTCCTTGTTTTAAGGAAGTACATACTGAGGTAGTCAAAAGTAAAGGGGCAAGCCATCTGTAATTTATTGTCCAGTGGTTTAAAGAATATATGTGTGTGTGTCATCTGTGTGTGAACATGCATATACATACAGGGGGAGAGGGAGGTAGAATATATGCAAGTAAACCAAATGAGGCAAAATACTTACAGTGAACCTATATAAAAGGTACACGAGAATTCTTTGTACTATTATAAGTTTTCTGTATGTTTGAAATTATATGAAATTAAATGTTACTTGAAACATAAAATACAGGAAAAATCATAGATAAAGCTTAAAATAAAGCATAACAGCTCTCATGTGGCAGCAAGCAGATTTGCAGCCAGCCCGTCCTATCTGTCAGAAGGGCCTTGTCTGGTGTGGCTCAGTAGATTAAGCACTGGCCTGAAGACTGAAGGTTGCCAGTTCAGTTCCGGGTCAGGGCATATACCTGGGCTGTGAGCCAGGTCCCCCATTGGAGGCATGGGATAGGCAACCAATCAATGTTCAACCAATCAATGTTTCTCTGGCCCATCGATGTTTCCCGCCCTCTCCCCCCTTCCCCCTCTCTCTAAAAATAAATAAAATCTGGGGTTGGGGGGAAAGGTGGGGTGGCCTCATGCAGAAAACTGTAGAGCAGGACACTAACTAGACCATTAAGCCAGGCTGTTCAAAGCAGCTCCACTTTGAACCAGAGCAGATCAAAAGGTACCCAACAACCTGCATCAGCTACACTGATTCACCAAGCAAGCAGACTTTCCCCAGCATACTCCAGACTCTGCTAGGCAGAAGGAAATAACACTAGTTAGCCAATCAGTCCCACTGCCTGCTGCCAGGACTGGACCTCCGTCAGCCAGGGAAACACAGTCCCACTATGTGACAAGCTCATCTTCCACCCTGGAGGCCTCCACTCTTCCAGTACAAAGAGCCCATGTGGGGATGAACAGCACAGTTGCACTAATAATTAATAAAGTAGCTCACAAAATCAGAATTATCAACACTGATGCCCCATAAGTCCTGCAAATTTAGCTGACTGCTGTGATGTATACCAGCTAGATAGAAGAGACTTAAAAATACTTTCAATTTGGTTTTGTTTATTCGTTTAGCATCTCTTTCTTGTGAAAACTGGCTCAAGATAGAACTGGTGTATTTATTTGTAAATAATAACATTAGATCTAAAATATCATTTGTGATAAAGCAGTTCTTAAGTTTCAAGTTCTGCCTTGGCATATTTTGCATTCGGCCAAACTATTAGAAGTTGATACAAAATATTCTGTGGCTGTTTTCTTTTTCTTTCTTTTTTTACTGTTGTTTAGTTATTTCATAATCATAAACTTAACTGTGCAATCCAGCTAGACTTGGAAAGGATAAGGAAAATATGGAACCCAGTAAACTGCAGTGAGAGGACAAAGATCACAGAACATTCCAAGTAGATGGGGGTGAAGGGGTGCTCCTAAGCTATAGAAGGAATGGGCTGGTAGTTAAGATAAAACACGAGTCAAATTTATTAGAGTTGTCCACAGTCACTAATGGTGATCATCTTGTTGGTCTTGCAATTCCTGGACCCATAGTGCTCCATGGCTGTCACAACATCCATGCTGTCTTTCATGTGGCCAAAGACCACATGCTTGCCATCCGGCCACTCAGTCTTGGCAATACAGATGAAAAACTGGGAACCATTTGTGTCGGGTCCAGCATTTGCCATGGACAAGATGCCAGGACCTGTGTGCTTCACGATGAAATTCTTATCATCAAATTTCTCCCCATAGATGGACTTGCCACTGTGGCATGTGAAGCCACTGCCCTGACACATAAATCCCAGAATAATTCTGTGAAAGCAGGAAACTTTATAACCAAATCCCTTCTCCCCAGTGCTCAGAGCATAAAAGTTTTCTGCTCTCTTTAGAACTTTGTCAGCAAGCACCTCAAAGACGAAGGGGCCCAAGGGCTCACCATCACAGCGATGTCAAAGAACACTATGCAGTTGACGATGGCTGGGCATGAGATCTGGGGAGGCAGCAACGGCTGCAAGGCGGGGTGTAGCTGTTTTCTAATTTGTCTTCCTATCGGATTTTTTCCTAATTTTGATTCTTTATCTTTTCCCCCCAAAAATACTTTTTATTCATGTCTAATTCACCTTCACTTTCTACACTAGAAATATTTTACTCGGTATCTGAATCTTCTGAACAGACTTCCACATAATCTTCATCTTCTAAATCACTTTCAGTTTCACATTCAACTCTATCATTCCCATTGTTGGAGTCGAGTAACATTCACTGAAGTTCTTCAACATCTCTTGGATTACCGAATCAATACATTTTTCCAGCCATTTTCAATGGTAAATTTTAAAAAACATACCACTGGCTTCAGAGTTTGCGAAAAACAAAACAACATAACTACAGCAACACTGACTTCAGAGCTTGCGGTATGAGATATAATTTGCTACTGAATATTACACACCCTTACGAAACACACGTTATAACCAACAGCTTAAATGTTACAGCTTAACATTAGTCACATACAAATGCACAGCTAGTCATGACCTTAAATTTATGCACCAATATTTGTAACAATAATTAAGAAAAGAGTTTGTTTGTATCTCGCAGATCAGCTGTGACCTCCGCAGGGTTAAAAATACAAGGAAAAAGGAAAGCAGCTTCCACAGGTGGCTTCCACAGGTGCCACATTGGCATCTTCTTTTTCTCAGAAGCACTTCCTGCTAGTGTCCCCTCAGGCACATCCTCCACCCACCCTCTTTAACCTCTATCCCACCTAAGAACTCCTAATTCCATCCTCCCAGTTTGCAGAGGTCCCAACTCTGGCCCCGGGGGCAGGGCCACAGCTATCTGTCTCACTGCTGTAGCTGCAGGGCCCTAAAAATAAGAGATTCTCAACAAATACTTGGTGAGTGAAAAAATCCAAAGGAAAAGGACAGGCATACAATAGCTCATGCATACTGCTGACGAAATGCAGTTTTTAAAAACCATGCTGAATCCCTGGCTGGTGTGGCTCAGTGGATTGAGTGCTGGCCTGTGAACTGAAGGGCTGCTGGTTCAATTCCCAATCAGGGAACATGGCTCGGTTGCCAGCCAGGTCCCCAGCTGGGGGGTGCGAGAAGCAACTGATCAATGTGTCTCTCACACTTTGATGTTTCTCTCCCTTTCTCTCTCCCTTCCCCTCGCCCTAAAAATAAATAAAACATTTTTTTTTAAACCACACTGAAAAGTAGTCTGCCATCCACTACTTTAACAATTTTCTAAACTCAAAACATGATTTAATGATTTTGCTTTGAGGGAAAGATAGATACTGGCTTATTACCCCCACCCAGCAGCAAGAATATTAAGTCTTGCTCTGGTTGGTGTGGCTTAGTGGACTGAGCGTTGGCTTGTGAACCAAAAGGTCACTTGATCAATTCCCAGACAGGGGACATGCCTGGGCTGTGGGCCAGGCCTCCAGTTGGGGAGCCCAAGAGGTAACTGATTGATGTCTCTCATGTCTCTACCTTTCTCCCTCCCTTCCCCCTAAGAATAAACACATAAAAATCTTTTTTTTAAAGGGGAGGAAAAAAGAATACTAAGACTTTAACTTGGGCTAAAAGCACCATCGGCTGGAGCAGGTGGTAGAGAACATTCTTGGAAAGACTCCGTATCAGCACAAACCATACTGGCTACCAAGCCAGGAAAGGTGGCCTCTGTCCATCCCTATGATCTGGTCACTATTCCTCAAAAGAATGACCATGCAGCGTGGCATTCAGAAGCCACCTTGCAACGTCAGAGACAGTTCACTTCATTCTCTGAGAAGTGATGTGTCCTCACTTAGTCTGACCTCCACAATGGAATCCCTTTTTTCTTTGCAGGAACCACTGGAATCCCTAGCTAACTGGTTAGAGGGCAAATCACATGTAGAAACTTTCTAGACTTTAATCTCTATCAACAAGAAGCTGCCCCACCCCACCCTACCCCCAACAAACACAACCAGATGATCCCAGAAGATTCCACTGCTGGTAATACTTTCAGAAGTATTAATAGTAACCAACACCAAAATGGTAAGTAGCCATACACAACATTAGAAACAATACAGGGTAGGACTATTCAAATGATAGTGAACAGAATCCTGTATCCACACAAGGAAAAGTTGACAAACTTATTTGTTTGAAAAAGGACAAAAAATACTGACTACAACTATATGCAAACATTTAAAAATTTACTGACAGTGTGACAGGAAGGGAATGTGGAAAAGTATAAATGTTATTTGTTACTTTTTAGCCATTTGGTGGCTCCTTTTGTATAAAGTGACTCAATTCTCTTGAAAAAGGGGAGGGAAAGGCAGGGAAGAAGGGCAGAGATGGAGAGGAATCAGACCAAGCAAACCAGTTAAGACCCTGGCACCGCACTAGCAAGTCAACAGGAAATTCCCTGGGCCCCATACTTTGCTCTTACAAATTCTAAAAAGTTTGATCTGCACCCTCTCTC